CTGCCTCGCCTGCGGGATTATTTCTCAAATCCAGGCAACTTCGAAAGGCAAAGCGGAACTCCACCCGCATGCAAAGAGCAAGGTGTCGGTCCTGGAGGTCCGCTTAGTAAGTATTCAGATAATATGTTCATTGTGTAGGTCCAATAACCCAGTAAAGTGTAGTCTTCCTATATGAGGTAACGTTAAATGGACGTGTTTCAAAACCTATTGAACTACCTTCTGCTCAAAAACATCCTAGACCAGTCTAAGATGATTTGCTGGTTTCCTAGCCTGGTTTGGTTTGAGGGTTTTGGACACTTGTCAGCTGGTCGACGAGGTAAACCAGCTGAACTCAACTTGACCAGATTGGAAGACCAGCTAGACTAGATAAACCAGGCTGGGAGCCCGTTTTAGGCTGGTTTAAGAGTTTTTTTTTTTATAGTTAGCACCCAAAATTAATGCCCAAAAAATGCTGTCTACGTTATCAGCTCCTTAGATTTTGGCTCATTGGCCTACCTTTTTGTTTTGCTTTTTAAACAGCAGCCGTTTAAAACAGCTACCTATACTACCTGTTCATTTCATATTGCGTTTCAGCCTTATGCATACAAGATGTCACACACAGGCTTCATTTGGGAGGCATTTGTTTTAGGGCTGGATTGTGTCTTTTGTTGTGTGATGTGATGTGAAGTCTTCCCACTGACCCCAGCTGCGCAGGTGCAGGATAGAAAGAGGAGAAAAAGAGATGCTCAAACGAGGGGTATGTAAAACCTGACTGTGTGCAGTGACAGATGGGATTGATACACTTTGTTTGGCGTAATCAGGAATACTTTCTGTGATCATTCTTTCTTGTACCTTTGCTCCTAAATGAAGTTTCTTATCTGAGAGTGTCCTCGTCTCCCTCTTACTATTTGCCTTTCAAAGCATGACGTTTGGATTTGTTTTTCTTTATAACCAGGCTGCATGTAGTTGAAGTGTGGATTGACAATGACAACATCCTATCCAGTGTAGATAATTTCTAAAAAAAAATGTTTACATTAATCAAAGATTTACATTTGCGAGAAATTTGACCGTTTGTAAAAAGGAGCCATTTCTTCTTAAAAACAGTTAGCAAAGATTAATAAATTAAAGGGATAGTTCACTCCAAAATAATAAATCTGTTATCATTTGCTCCCCTCACCTTCATGTCTTTCCAAACCTGCATGACTTTCTTTTTTCTGTGGAACAAAAAATAATAATATTGAAAATCAAACTGTTTTGCTTTTGACTTATGGACAAAACAGAGTTCTCAAAATAGCTTTTTTTATGTTCCAAAAAAGAAAGAATCTCATACAGCAACAACACCACCAGGGTGAGTAAATGATGACAGCATTTTCTTTTTTGGGGTGAATCCCCACTTTACAAATGTTGTTGATCAATCCTAACTTAGCAACTGTTGCTATATGATTAAGCAAGCTTCTGTTCTTTACTAATACACGTCTGGTGTGATTGGACAGTTTTAAATAGAATATTGCATAAAAAATGGGGATGGGAAAAAAATATTGCCTTGTAACACAGTTTACCTTGGGAGGTATTTTCTTCCCACTGTTATAACCCTTTAAAAGAGCATTTTGTAGATTAATATCAGTAAGTAAATAATACATTTAAATGAATAAATAAATAAAAATAAAAAAGTTAATTAAATTAATGTAAAACCTCTCTGTGCTAGAGGAGGGTGGAGCTAAGCAAAGGGTCAGTCGTCTGATCTTTAATTATTTTTTGCTTCTTTTTGGTTACCAACAATTCTAAATTAGTCTCCCATGTGATTGTATGAAGGTGATGAAGGTACACATAATGGACATTTTTTTTATGTGGTTACATAAAAAAGGTCTACACAGTTTGAAAGAATGAGGAAATGCTGATCTAACGTTCGTCCTAATTCTTTCAGGTCTGTCCTGGTTGTCTGCAATCATTTTTGTGTGATTGCCTGGCATAAGTGCACATCAACCGCACATTTTCTCAGCCTGCTGACTAAACATGTGGGTGGGCAATGTTGAAACCGCTTTCATGCAGGCTTATTCACGCTTCAAAACAATCATTAATCCATCTAATCAGCTTCCTATTCCATTTTAATATTTGACAACCATCATTCCTTTATCGAAGAGGCTTAGTTCTGATATTATTAGGATCTGTAATATTGCATGTAGGCTACTCATTCTACCTTCCCACAGTACAGGAAAACTTAACTTAATTTGTTATATAAAATGAATGGATGTCATCTTGATTTGATGAATAATTCTCCCTAGGGCTGCACAATATATCGAAATATCGCAAATGTATATATCGCAATATGCATATCGCAACGGCTTGCAACAATTGGGGTCATGAACAAAAGACAAAGAGAAAATCACTCACTGCTCTTGGCTGAATAACTTTTGTAGCTTTAATAAGAATCAGTTTTACATTTGATTATTCAGTTTCTGTTGTTAAATAAACCTCCTGAAACCCTAAACCCAGTGGTTTACACTGATGTAAAAATAACACT